TCAGGGATTAATATTCATACAACTATAAGCCTAATTATACCCATCATTATCATCATCATAGCCAGGTAATTATTAATTCGTGTGTATTAGAACTAGTAATCCTGGCTGACACATGTTTTATTTTCATAGAAAGCACTTCTCCTTGTGTTTTAGATTAGCAATAATATTAGTGTTTGACATCTGTGAAGCATATGCATTTAATAAAACAAGTTCAGTGCTACTCAGAATCTGAATATATAAAGTTTTTCATGTATGTAGTATATATTTAAGGGATGTGGGGAGGATGGAGCAAGAGAACAAGCAAAGTAACAAAATGCCAGGAAGTTTGTTTCTGAGTTGTGAAGCTTTGTGTTAAACTTTCAAAACTTGTCTTCCTTGGGCTGAGGAGTTGTATCAGTGGGTCAAGAGCTTGGGAGAAGGAAAATGTGAATTCTAATCCCCAGCACCCACGTGAAAGCCTTGTGTGATGGTGTGTGCCTGTAACCTCAGCACCATGGAAGAGAGTTGGGATCCATGAGTTCATGGGCCACAGCCTAGCTGAAGTGATAAACTTCAGGTTCAAGGAGAGACCTTGACTGAAAACATCAGGTGGAGAGGCAATTGAGGAAGGCATCTTGTTGTCAGCCTTGGGCTCTATAAGCATGCATACATGGGCAAGTTTACCACCCCTCCATTTTGCTTTTACATGAGGAGCCATGACTGTGTAATCCAAAACCAAAAACAAGCATAGAGTGAACCTTCTACGTACACATATACACACATAGATAAATTACTATTTTTTAAAATTATTTTATAAAGCAAACTAAATATATATATAGCTTGAGGGTAGAGCATATGGTTACTATGGGTGAGGTCCCAGTTCTGTTCCCAGCACCAAAAACAATAATAAAACATATTTTCTGTTAAATTCTTAGTGAAACATCCAAATCTTTGCAAAGTATAGTGTCTATACCTCATTTGTAGAGGGAAAACCTCTTAGATACAGTTGTCAGAAAAGGGAGAGTTATCCCTATAAGCTTATAATCTGCTTATGGCATTACAAAGGTATTTCAGGTGACACTTAATGGTTATCGAGGTCTCTTAAAGATAGAACTTTGGAAGAAAACCCCTTTGGAATCAAAGTAGGACTGCAGGTTGTCTTTAAAACACACAGAAACAAGTTTTTTTTTATTTCTAATTTTATTACTTTATTTTATGTGTGTGGGTTTTCTGCATGTATGTATGTCTGTGTGCCATGCGCATGCAGTGCTGGCAGATCCGAGCTGGCAGAAGCCATTGGATCCTCTGGAACTTGAATTGCAGGTGGTTGTGAGCTACCGTATAGGTGCTAGGAACAGAACCTAAGTCCTCTGCAAGAGCAACAAGTACTCAACCACTGACCCATCTCTTTGGCCCCCAACAGAGGTTTTTAAGTGCCCTTTGCCTAGTGGCATATGTTTTTATCATCACAGTGAAACTAGTTATATTGAAATCCACAAGAAAAAATATGAATTATTAGAGTAGAGACTATAGAATGCTTTATTTTTTATAATGAATGAATGGGAGAGAGAGGTGCATGCTCACATGTGTGCAGATGTGCTCTCTTAGGCATGTGCACAGATACTGGAGGAGAACACCTGGGTGTCCCCCTCTATCATTCTCTGTCTTATTTCAGCTCACTGAACCTGGAGCTAGGCTGGCTGGCCAGCAAGCTGTAGCAGTTCTTCTGTATTTACCCCTCATAGCACTGTAGTTGCAGATGTGAGAGCCATTACACCCTGCTTTTCACATGGGTGCAAAGATTCAGCCTCAAGTCTTTATGCTTGCACTCTCAGTGTTCTTACCACTAAACAACCTTCTCTAGCCCTAGACATCTCTCTTTGTGGAATTAAGAATATCAGTGAGTGTAAGCACTGTTTTTAACCACAAAGTATCATTATCTAGGAATATTTGAGTAAAGCAAAGGTAACTTACCAAATCATTATCTATCCCTTATGTTTGTTTTGGACTTAACAAAGTGGATTCCTATACCTTAGCTTACTTCATTTTCAAGATGGAAAAATGTGTGCAACATCATAAGCTAGGCAGAGTTGAAATTATAATGAACTTATTTCAATGTTTGCAATCATATTTGACTCCCTTTATGTCCTAAGTACCTTCCAGAGATTGAGGTGCCAATTCTAAATTTCCAATCTTAGGCATCCTTGTTATGTGGTTGCCATTGCTCATTTACTTCTTGGGTTCAACTGAGTTCCACAAGCCAAAGCTAATAGTGTTTTCTTATTATTACCATCACCATCATCATCATCATCAATGTTTGTGTGTGTGTGTGTGTGTGTGTGTGTGTGTGTGTGTGTGTGTGTGTGGTGGGAACATACCCAGGCACAGGTTGACATTAGAGAATAATTTTGTGAAGTGTGTTCTCTCCTTCCACCTTTACATGAATGCTACAGATTAAACTCAGGTTGTCAGGCTTACACAGTGTCCTAGTTAGGATTACGATTGCTATGATGAAACATCATGACCAAAAAGGAAGTTGGGGAGGACAGGGTTTATTTGGCTTACATTTCCACATTGCTGTTCATCATCCAAGGAAGTCAGGACAGGAACTCACAACAGAGCAGGGACCTGGAGGCAGGAGCTGATGCAGAGCCCATGGAGGCTTACTGGCTTTCTCATCATGACTTGCCCAACCTGCTTTCTTACAAACTCAGACCACCAGCCCAAGGATGGCACTACCCACAGTGGGCTGGGCTCTCCTCCATCAATCACTAAGAAATGCCCTATAGCCATATCTTATAGAGACATTTTTTCAGTTGAGATTTTCTCCTTTCAAATAACTCTATCTTGTGTCAAGTTGATATAAAACTAACCAGTACATCTAGCAAGTGATTTAGCCATAGGGATATCTTGCCAGCCTGCCCACAGTGTCTTGAAGCGGACAGCCACCAGGTGATTTGACTTCTGCTATACAGAGACTCAACCTGTGATGGCTTCAGCAGAGCCCTCATAGGGAGACCTACAAAGCACTGCCTTTGAAACTGTGGCTTCCTCCCAAGAACCACCTTGGTCTACATTTCCATTCCCACCGGACTAAATTTAATTCAGTGTGTGAAGAGAAAGTATTCTTCATTCTTCATCCCTTTGTCCATTTATGTGAGCTCAATGCCCAGGCTTGATATCGGGTCTTCAGTGGATTTAGAAAATCTGGTCGTAGCCAGGCAGTGGTGGCACACGCCTTTAATCCCAGCACTCGGGAGGCAGAGCCAGGCAGATCTCTGTGAGTTTGAGGCCAGCTTGGTTTGCAGCAAGACAGGACAGGCACCAAAACTACACAGAGGAAACCCTGTCTCAGAAGAGAGAGAGAGAGAGAGAGAGAGAGAGAGAGAGAGAGAGAGAGAAAGATAATCAGGTAGCCAAGCTAACAGATCAGAACCCACTTGATTTCTCCAGCTTTTACGACTCAATTATATGGTGTCTTCAGCATTAGGATCTTACTCTCAAGTTCTGAAGGGTAACCAAGAGCAATAACAATACCCTGTAATGTTTGTGGGTCTGTGGGACCACACTGGACAACAACACAAAAAGTGATGACCCATTCCTGGTACTGGGGGTTTTGTTCACTATCATGTGGCACCTAATTGGGGCATTGTCCCCTCATCCTAGTGTGACTCCATTTAAACTTTTTAAATAGCTGTAAAGTATTCATTTTAGGATGCTTCTGCAGTACTAAGTTTCCATACGGCTTTTTCAAAGGGCCTTTAGTGCTAGGCATCCCTCCTTTACCCTGCCCTCCCACCTTTCCCTGTTTGACCCTTCCTGTTCCATTACTTTCCTTTCTCCCTTTATATTACTGTATTCTATCTCCTTCCCTTAAAAGATCCCCTCCTCCTCCAGGAGCCCATAGAGTTTTCTAACCTCTATGGCTGTTCCAGTTAAAACATACATCTCTAAAGGTTGGAAGTTAACATTCACATACGGGAGAAAACATGTCAATTAAGTGATATCTTTAAAACATTTCATTGCATGCGTGTTTGTATGTTTTGAGATGTGTACTGGGACTCACTACACAACCTCAGCTGGCCTCAAACTCATGGTGATTTACCTATCTCAGCCTCCTTAGTGTTGAAATGTCAAGCCTGTGCCATTTTTCCTGGCTGAAATATTTAATTTTCATTTTTACTTATTTTTACGTACCCTTCTACCTAAATTCTTAGTGTGTATCAGAGATTTTGCCACAGCTGTTTTTAATTTTTTACTAGAACATTGCAGAAAGTACTGCAAAATCTAGAAAAAAAAATCACTCATGATCCTTTTATCTAGGCAAACATTTTGTTTTGTTTCCTTTCCATCATTTTTGTATGTGCAGATATCCTTACTGATTTCCACATGGTGACTTTTAAAACAGTGGATTTTGCTAACAAGCTTTTAGTAAGAAGTCAGTAGTTAAGTGGTTTGCTCTGATTACCTGTCCATGGCATTCTTTAGATGTCAGATCAATTTCTTGTTTTCTTCACTTGAGTTGCGGTTGTCATTAGTTGAAAAGTGATCTTCCCATTAGGTGTTTATTATGTAACTCTGATGGGCTTTGATTGCTTTATTTGTGTTGTCAATGAGATTTCTAATAATCTTTAAAATCCTCATCAAGGTAAAGTCACAGATTAATCTAGAGTTTACTCATTTTCTTTTTTCTTTTTCGTTTTCTTTCTTTCTTTTTTTTGCTTTGTTTTTTGTGTATTTGTTTGCTTTTTCTTCAAGCTCAATAAACTTTGCTGGGATCCACTATTATAATTTCCATATAATATGAATTAAAAGTTAATATGTTAATAATTGTCTCTTACATTGCTTTATGATTGATAATTTCAGCAGGTAACATAGCAATATGTTCTGAATAGTAGAAATACTAAAAGCATCTTCTAAAAGTATATTCATGAAAATCAACATTCTTTTTTGTAATACATTTATTCATATAATGCGCACAGGCTGAAGTGTGGTGATGTGTCTTGGTGATTGTTTTTCAGACCTCAAAGGAAGACCTCCTGCAGGCTGATTTCGAAGGTGCTTTGAAGTTCTTCAGAGTTCAGCTTCCAAAAAGATACCGGGCAGAAGAGAATGCAAGAAGATTGATGGAGCAGGCTTGCAATATTAAAGTAAGATCCATGAACTTACATGATAACAGTATAATTTGCATGTAGAATAACATAAACACAGAAAATAATGTTAAATTTTTGTGTCTGTTGTTGCTGGTTTCTGAGTGTGTTTTAGAGTCTTTGTGTACAAACTAGTCTCTCCTAGACTTTTGTGTCATCCAGGATATTGATAGTTGTTCTAAACCTTTTAGTAGGACTTAAAGCGAAAGGTCAGTGGCTCAAATTGTAATAAAAGGGAGGCAAACATTTATCTTCTAGGTGGGGCTCTGGAATGGGCTGCTATAATAGTGGTTTCCATGGCAGCAGACTTGGTATTTTAGCTTTTGCCATCTGTTTTAAGATTATTTAGGACAGAGCAGGAAAAACATGCCAAGCAGGTCTTTCCCTTTTTCTAAGGTACGTCGGCAGCTTGAGTCCTGATCTGTCCAGAAGCCACCTCACATCTACCAGATATCTGTAGATATATTGGTCTGTGTCATGTGTCTGATTAAACAAATCTTATAAATTAACTTAAAGTTGAAAGCTGTATCCAGACAAATGAAAATTAAGGTGGGAGAGTGTATTTTCTCTAAAAGATTTTGAACCAGTTTGCTAATATCAATACTTATGCCTCCAGAATATATTTACCTAACCATGACAGAAATATAAATGTGTTTATTAGACAGATAGACTAGTGTTATGGACCTTATATTATTGAAGAAGAAAACTGACCATAAATAATAAACATACATTATTTATGTTAGAAGACGATTAAGTAGATGTAGAAAAAGAAGAAAGAAAAAGGAAAAAGGTGAGTTGTGATGTTTTACTAATGTGTGTAGACCCCAATGGGAAATGAATGAGACAAAGGATAACTTATGGACATGTCCTGGGGAATAATGTTTCAGGCAGGGAATAACTAGTTCAAACATCCTGACACCAGCTCAGGCTTTGTGAATTTAAAGAATGACATGTAGGCCAGTGAAGCTAGAGAGGAGTGTATGAAATCAGAGTAGAAGTTAGAGTGCCCACAAGGAGCCAAGAGTTGTCAGTTGTTATATTTAGATTTACTTTGAAGTGGGGGTCCTGGCAGGGAAGAATACTTTGTTCAGGGTTCTGAGAAGTAAGATGGGTAAGAAGGAGAGAGAGCACACAGAACCTGAAGTTATCCCATGGACAGATATGAGCGGCTGAACCAGGATAGTAGCAGTGGAGAAGAAACAAATTGACAGTAGTAAAAACCTGAGCAAACCTTGAAATTTTCAGTATGTGTAAATATAGTTGTGAGAGGACAAGGCAAGGTCATTCTAGATGTTGAAATGAGCAAATAAAACAAGTTTCTATTAATTTAATGGGCTTATTACTTAAGATATAATTATATGAGCCTAATAAATAATTGATTTGGAGTTCTTCTAGGTACTATTCCCACTGTAACACTTAAACAAAACAAAATAGGGTCTCACTATGTAAGCTTGGCTGGCTACTAGATAAACCAGGCTGGCTTCAAGCTCACGGAGGTCCTCCTGCCTCTTCCTCCTGAGTTCTGGGGTTAAAGGTGTGTAACATGATGCCCAGATTATAGGATTGTAAAACTTTTCTCAATAACAATTTTGATTTTTAATCCTAACTTATTTAAGAATAAATTATTATAAATGTCCCAAAGTGCAAGTCAATGCTGAAAGTAAATAACTGAATAGGAAATTATTTTGTCTTTCAAATGAATTCCATATTTTAAAAGATCATTTTCTAAGTACACTCCCTCAAAAAAAAAAAAAAACACCTCACAAATCTTTATCCTGAATGCAAAGTTGCTAAATCCTTCAAGACTAATTATTTGAGTTGAGCATAGTAGCATATGCCTATTATCTCAACGCTTAGGAGGTTGAGGCAGGAGGATTGATTCCATTTGTTTGAAGCCCAGGCTAGACACTATTGGAATACCATTTATTTAAAAATACAAACCAGAAAGACAGACAAGACAGATTGATGGACACACAAACACACACACACACACACACACACACACGGACTGGTTGGCTGGACTAAATGTCTTAGTCAAAAATTATATTTACTCATAGATTTTGAAGGTGTATTCCAAAGGGCTGGGGACTGTTAACAATTTTGTAGGAAGTAAATTTGAAATACATTTTAGCTGCTAATTGTTCAGAGAATTACAGTTACCTAGGTTACATTGAGATTACAGTTACTTTAGAAGTCTTTCAAAGTAAAATATTCAGTTCTAAAATACAAATGTAACACCAGGCCTGGTGACACATGCTTTTAATCTTGGTCCTTGAGAGTCAGATGCAGGTGGATCTCTGTGAGTTCAAGGGCAGCCTGATCTACCTACCAAGGCCAGCCAGGGCTACATAGTGAGACTCTGTTTCAAAAAAATGATTAAAAAAAAATACAAAAGGCAACATTAACCTGAAAGAAGAAGGAAGTTAGGGAGGGAAGATAAGGTATTGGGTGCCTATTTTACACCAGGAACTATGCAAGAGATCTCAGGAAATAAGGATTAAAATGAGGCTTGGGGGATTAAAAGAAGTAAGCAGGCTTGGAAAGGATACAGAAACCCATAGGTGAGGAGAAAGCACAGATATCCAAGATTTAAATGTGGTTCCTGATCAGAGGTTAGGGTGAGAGAAGGGCGGGGGCAGGCTCTGGGATAAGGGGTTAGGAGACTGGCGAGGTTAAGTGGAAGCCATGGGAAACAGTCTGGGGTTTAAACTGAGGACTCTGGTAAGCACTGAGAGGTTTTGAATAAAAGACAGAAATGGGGGCTGGAGAGATCGCTCAGTGGGTAGGAGCACTGACTGCTTTTCCAGAGGACCAGGGTTCAACTCCCAGCACCCACATGGCTGCTCACACCTGTCTGTAACTCCAGTTCCAGGGGATCTGGCACCCTCACACAGACATGCAGGAAAAACACGAATGCACATAATTTTTTTTTTTAAAAAAAAAGACAGAAATGACCAGATTTATGTTTTAAAAAATGTCATTCTAGCTGCTGTGTGGAAAATGCATTGACAGATGCCTTATTAGATGTTGGTGACAGCACTTTTCAGGCACCATTGCAGTAATCAAGTGAGGAGTGGCTACATTGATTGCTGTGGTCTGGAGAGAATGGCCAGATTTTAAAGACAATCAGCAGGCAGACTTGTCAGAGGAACACTAGGGCAGGGGAAGAGACCCAGTAAAGGTACTCAGCATTGTACCAGTGGGTGATAATGAGTTCAGACGTGTTATGTTGCCTACATTTGTGTCCACATAAGCACTATATCCAGTAGTCAGATGGGTATTGAAGTAAGAGCTGAGCTAAAAGTTGGTATTTGGAAGTCATAGCACTAAAACCATGGAGTAAGTGACTTCTCATAAAAGGGGATACAAAGTGTTCAGAGAATAAAGTTGATGACCAATGCATAAACATAAAAAGTGAACTGTGGCTGGTGCATGTCTTTAATCCCAGCACTCAGGAGGCAGAAGAAGGCAGATGCTAGCCTAGTTCCAGACAGCAAAGTTCCAGGACAGCCAAGGCTACACTGAGAAACCCTGTCTTGACAAACAAGCAAGCAAACAAACAAACACACAAAAAGAACTGGATAGAAGCAGGCAAAACTAAAAAGGAGGAGAACTCAGAAGAATATGACATATGAATGTTAAGGGAAAGGGCATTGTTATCAAAAATATATTTGAGCCCCTGGGTTCTGTTCTTAGCACAAGAGGAGGAAGATGATGAGTACAAGATAAACAAGTTATCAGTGGTGCCTGGAAGTCATGTAAGTGACTGAGGACTGGAAAATGGACTTTGTACAATACTTGATGATCAGTACATTAAAGGATGGCCTTAGAGGGAGCAGTTTCAGTGGAGTGAAGTATAAGAGCCATCATTAAAAGGATAAATAAGGAGTGAATAAATTGAGGAACAAAGATGAGAAGCTTTTTCTAAATGGTTATAGAGGACAGGAGATGGGAGAGATGGCCAGCAAGTTAATTAGAGGATAAATATGAGAGCAAAAGAGAAGATGTGTATAAGATGAACTTGTAGAGCGGGAATGTTGAGTCTTTAAATGCTTAAAACCTTAATGAATCTTAATTTTTACACTGAGCATCTGCAATATGCCAGGTACTATGCTAAATCCAAAAAATATGAGGCTGAGCAAAAACAAGTATGCCCTCTAAACTCATAGAGCTTTCCGTGTTGTAAGGAAGGTGTTAATAAGATGACCATGTTAGTAATAAAATTATAGGGATGGGAATGTAACTGTAGAGTGCTTGCCATTGTCTTAGTTACTTCCTCATATTTATGATAGAACACTTAAGCAAAAGTGACTTAAAGAAGAAAGGGATAGCTTCTAGTCTCAGAGAGATATAGTCTGCCCTGACATAGCAGCAAGAAGGAAAGGCATGGAGGTAGGAAGCAGAAGGATGAGTGGTCACACTTCATCCATACTCAAGAAGCAGAGCGAGAACAGGAAGTGGAGCCATGGTATAAAGTCTGAAGGCCCATGACCAGTGACCTACTTCCTCCAGCAAGACTTCATTTCCTAAAAGTTCACAACCTTCTCAAACATTACCACTAGCTTAGTGCCAAATATTCAGACACACAAGCCTATAAGGGACATTTCACATTCAAACCACCTCTAGCATGCACTAAGACCTGAGTTCAAGCCCTAGTATGTATCTGTAACCCAGAACTCATAATATGAAGGTAGAGGCAGAATGATCAGTCAAAAGGCTATCTGCAACTCCAGAGTGATTTCTAGGCTATCCTGTGATACATGGGTCCCTATCCCAAAAACAAAGCAAACAAAAAATGAAATGTATTTACAAGTAAGACTTCTGTTCAGTAGAACAATAACAAAGGTATATGAGAGCAAAGAAAACAAAACTGTCAAGACAGGGCTTCCCTCTGGAGCCTTGGCTGTCTTAGAACTACCTCTGTAGACCAGGCTGGCCTTGAACTCACAGAGATCTGCCTGCCTGTGCCTCCTGAGTGCTGGGATTAAAGGCATGTTCCA